ATTGTTGTTACTAACACTTTGTTCGTGTTTGGTTTTTATGTTTAAAAAAAAAGATTTTTCAAAATTTATTTTCAAAATAGAAAAAAAAATAAAAGAAAACGTTTTTACAAAAATAATAAGATAGGAATTATGACACTTTTCTAGGATTGAAGTTTTGATTTTGAAGACTATGTGACCATTGTTGCAGGGTTTGTTCATGACAATTGATTCAGAAACCTCATGATGGAGCTTCCGTCCAAGAAATTTCTACTTGCAACTGTTTTGGTGGATATGATTTTGACTCTATATTTGGACTACTAATATGGTTTTTGATTATTTCTTATTAAGGATGTTAGATCAAAGTCTGGGGGGAGCAAAAAGAGTGTTATCTATGATGCAGCTACTCATTCAAGTCAAAGGAACCAAGCCAAGTCGTTTTATCTTGAAGATAATGCATATTCTCAAACTGGACAGAACGCATATGCCAGAAGTTCGCTGATGAACGGAGGATCAAATCAATTGGAAATTTAACGAAACTTGGTATAGAGATAGCCCTTTGAGTCAGCTTTCCAATGGAGTTGGAATTTAATCAATTGGAGCTATACGTTAGAAGATACACTAGAAAGACTGAGGACATGTCAAACTGCCTTCGAAGTGAAGTGAGTGCAGAAGGAAGCCAAGCACCGGGCCGCCCATGAGCCGATGATCCATACCTTTTCCGACCTTCTAGAAGCACAAGGAAGCTTCTAATACCGGTCACGAAGCCCGACCGTTATTGTGTCCGGTATTGCCTCAGTTTCGACTAAAGAGACGTTTTTACCCGAAGAAGCCCTAGCCGACTTAAGCCTCTTTAAACCCCTATATATACTTGCCTTTAGCCTCTCTAGGAACTTAAGCAGCCGGCCATAACAGCCTAAATCAATACCTAAACATGTATTTCATTTTTCTCTTGTTCTTAATGCATATTTGATTCTAAAAGCCTTAAGGATAGACTGACTTTGCCCTATTGCGAAGAGATGAGATCTAACTCCTTATGCTTTGTAGATCAATGATTTATCTTTATGTTTATGTACTTTACTCTTGCTGCTACGTGTTTCAAAACATGTTAGAGTACTAGCTTTGATTTGATTTCTATGCACCTTCTTAATTCTATGCTTTTACATACTTAATCGATTAGAGTTTCATTCTAGAATTG